TTCAATTATAATATGCTTTATTTATTCTTGCTTAATCAGGTGACTATTGACACTAAGAAAACAGATTTATTCTTTATTAATCACAAATTTGATATCAAAATATGCTAGAGTACAAAAAAGTTACAGATTTCTAGAATATTATAATAACTACTATTATAATTTTGAATAATCTAAAATGTTGTAATGCACAGATAACTAATTAAAACATTTAAACTAATGAACTATAAATTTAAATGCATAATTTTCAAATTTATAATCAATAATATTATATTTGCATCAATCGACTTATGATATTATAGTATATGTAAAAATGTTGATTTCTTCCAAAAATGAATAAATGAAAACTATTAATTCTACTAAAAAAGAATTTTGCAAAAATCAGCATAAGCTATGCCCAAAAACATTAATTAAACCATCTCTTATATATTTCATGTAATTGTACTGGTATATTGTAATTATGAATAAATAAAAATCATTATTTCAACCAAAAGGATTTTTCAAAAATCAATGTAATGCATCAAAAAAGTTGAATGGAACCATCCTTTTCACATTTCATGTAATTGTACTAGTATTATGATTATTTTTTAATAAAAGTTGGCTAAAATTTAAACCTGATTTTATTTTAAATGACAAGTCATTGATCATAATAATGAAGTATTACAAATAACATTAGATTATCAATTCATCAAAATAAATAATTGGCTTATATGTGTCATGCAGTACCACATGTAAGCCAATTATTTACTAAGAAAGAATGAATTTTTGCAATATATAATCATCTTATGACCAATTTACAGAGGAAAAAGACAATTAAAATTCTTATATGACTAAAAAACAAGAAGTAATAGATGATTTAGCTATAAATACAGTTTATTTTTATTTATATCAACCTATTTGGATTGGTTTTAAATTATGTTGATAGTAATATTAATAAGAGATTATATTAAAGTTGATATATATAAAGAAATTTTAATATATAAAAATTTATAAAACTTTAATTTGTGGCTTAGGTTAATATTAATGAAGTTGATATTAACAAGAGTCGACTGTATGCTTCTAACTAAATTTTACTTCACTTTAACCTTTTTCTAAAATTAGAAATTTTATGTTATATAAAAACAGATAATAATTATGAGAAAAAATGTATACCAATTAGCTTTAAGATTTTGCCTTTGATTTAGATATCAGTAAAACTATACACTTACATTCCTAGTATCTTATAACAAAACCTATGAGCTGATTTCAAAACCTATAAGAATATACTATAGGTATTTGAATCAAACAAATTTATAAAAACATATTTATTATACTTATAAATTACAATATAAAGTATAAATAAATAAAAAAACTATTTTTAATTTTTAGATATTTTACTCACGATAATGCAAAGTAATACTATAATAATGCCTCCAGATATGCCTTTACTTATAAATACAAATAAATATAAGTGTAATATATGTCAAAAAATATTTAAAAATAAATCAGAATTAACATGCCATAATACTATTATTTATAAATATAGTATTCAAGAAGAGTTACCAACTGTACTACTAAATCTTTTAGAATTATTCAAAAATGATTTAGTGTATTTTATTCATCATCAATTATCTAATAGTTTTACAAATTCTGAAAAAAAAACTGTGTCTGTTGCATATAGTAAAAATCAGTTTTATACAATTTTTGAAAACTATATTTATTTTTATTTAAAAAAAACTGATATTTGTAAATATTTGTTTTGTAGATTAGAAAGTAAACACAAGTTAAATCAAATATTTGGAAGATTAGATTGAGGAATAAAATATTATGATCAGAATTAAATAATATATATAGTCTTTGATAATAATCAGTTATTAGAATTTTGTCAAAACTCTGAAATTAATCTTTTAGCAGTTGCTATGGTCAAAAGATCTAAAAAAAAAAATTTAAATATAGTGAAGTAGTAGTAGAGTAAAAATAAAGATATAATAAAGATGCTAGTAGTAATATTTGTAGTATAGATTTTGTTTATTTTTATTTTTATATAAAACAAGCATATATTCATAATAAATAAAAATTTAATATTTAGATTACAATTTATATAACATTAACAACAAGAGTTGTGGATAATACTTTATATTTTGTTATTTATTACTGTTACAATATTATTAGACATGTTGGCAATTATAAATTTAAAAGAATATAAATCAAATACATCATACTAAGATATTAAATCGTTAAATATCAGATATTTTATCTAGACTATCTGATGATCTATTGATCTATTCAGATGGATAAAATAGATTAATTTCAAATAAATTCTCAGAAATATCTATATGTTAAAAGTATTAGTCTAAACTTTAAATTAAAAAGATATTTTATAATGTTTTAATTATTTATAGTTACTGATTTGGAATATGCATTGTATTAGTAAAAAGAAATTGTTAATAAAGATATCTTTATTCTAGAATTACTTGCAGATTTAATAAATCTTTAGTGATTGAACTAAATAATGCATAGATATCAGAAGACCTTACTCAGTATATGTTAGGCAAATATATAAAAACTCAGTTTTTTTATAAATTATTAATTATTGAACCAAATAATGTGCAAAATTAAGAAATTGTAAAACAATTCATTGTGTTAGACAGGTATGAGGAATTATATACAAATTTGAATAAATATTTAGAAATTGAACTTAACTTCTTGAATCTTTAATGATTAGCTTAGATCGGATAGAAAAGCATCAGCAAAGGTGCTTTCAAAAACATTGTCCTATAGTTCAATGGTTTTTAGTACAGATATCATAATAAACTGTATATGGAATTGAAGTTAAAAATGATGAGAATAAGCTATTTACTTATTACTAAGAATCTGCTTAAATAAGTAATGATGATGAAATAAAAAATCTTAAAGATCATTATTAATAATATGTTTTCTCAGTTTTTATTATCAAAATAAAAATAAAGCTGAAAAAAGACTTAATTATTATCAAAACTCTGCTTATATAAATAATTGTCAAATATGCACCTCAATATGGTTAATTTATGATCAAGTTGGTGCTCAAGTATTACAATTGATTATTAATATTAATTGCAATTAATGCTTGAGCAAACATTATTATTCAAATCGAAATAAAAAAAATGAAGTTGATAGATTAACAAAAGATAAAGCAATTTACAACACTTTACAGCACAAATAACTTCTGTTTCTTTTTCAGAACTTACTAAGAAAACAAAAATATGCTTTTTTTATTTGTGATAAAGCTTTTTGTATAAGAAATAAGATAATAATTTATCATCTTAGAATTTGCTATTTTTATATAAGTGTAGTTAAAAAAAAATAAAATTTACTCATTAAGACCCAGATTTAAAAATAATTATGAATAAGGGCCCAACTTAAAAATAAAGGTCTAATTTTTGAAATATTACAAATATGGGCTCTAATTTAATTATAGGATCATCTTACTCATAATGATAATATTTACAATCGAAGATAAAGATGATTTTTAAGTAATTTTTAGAAAATCAAAATAGAAAAAATTTACTAATAGATAAGTGTCTTGTATTTTTATACTTATATATTGAATTTATATGATTACTAATTTATATTTGTTAATAAGTAGTAATGATGACACTTCTTATATGCCAGAAGTCAAATTTGAGTTATATATATACAAGTAAGTTAAATTTTGCTTAGTATATTTAGTAAAATAGTATTATATAGCAGTACAGATTCAGATCGTACATATAGTTAATGTAGATTTGCAAAATTTAATTATTATATGAGTTGGAATTTTAGAAAAAGTAACTTGATGAATTTTTTTTTATAAACCATACATACTATCATAATTTTTACACGTCTGTCCTAAATTGTGCTGCTATACTATATTACTTTTCTATATACTCACTAAAAATCCTGCTTAAGTCATAATAGGTACTGATTCATACGATGCAAAATTACTTGAGTACATATTTGTAATATTTTTAAAAATTAGGTCTTTATAAATAAATATTTTTAAGTTGGACCTTCATTCATAATTATTTTTAAATTTGGGTTCTAATGTGTAAATTCATCTTAAAAAAAATCTAGCAGTCAAAATTAAAAAATTTAGTATATTTAATGACATAATTTGAATACAACTAATTCAATATTATGCATTTCTGCTAAGTCATATAAATTCATTTTTCTCATCAATGATATATAGTTAATTATTTGCAAAAAAATTTAGATTTAAAAAGTAAAAAATAAATTCCAGAGATTTATCTATATTACAAAAAAGGAGATGCCAAATAGTCTTTCTGCATAATAGTAATATGAATGAGTCTATAAGTAATAGCATAATATTTTGTAACTATTAGCTATATATAAAGATTACATACAAGTATAAGCATTTTTAAAAATTAATATTTTCTTAAATTATTAATACCTATAATTTTTAATACCAATAAAATAAGCATATAAATACCTTTGATGTTGAAAAAAAGAAATCGATGATTCTGATTTCTGATTTTTAATAAATATGAGTTGCATTATAAGAAGTAATGTTAAAAAAATATAAAGACTTATATATATATATATATTTATTTATAGTATATATATGTATATATTTTTTAAAAAAAACATTTTTAATGATCAAAAATTATATCTTTTTGGATGCACAAAGGATCTTTTTTGTACAATTTTAATATTTAAAACTTACTAAATAATCTACATAAGCACAAATTATTCTGCCTGTTTATTATTAAAAAACATAAACACAAAGCATCAAAATGTTTTATATCTTATTTAAAAAATATGTATTAATTTAAACAAAAAGAATTATATACATGTTACAATTATAATAAACTGACCAGAATTATGCATTTATTAATGAATATGAATATGATTTAATTACTTCTTGCATTGTAAATTGCTATAAACAATATGCTTGAGTTGTAATTAGATAAATATTTTTTTTGTGTACTATAAATAGTTTTTATATATAACAATTTTTTTTTTGTAATAAGTGATTTTTTACCAGTATGTTTAGCTTTTATTTACAAGAACTTAATTATTATTCATATGAAAAGCTTTATAAATTTGCTTTACAAGAATCTAATAATTTTTTAAAAGAACTTGGTAACTCTTTACAAGAATTTGAAAATTTTTTACAAGAACACAATAACTTTTTACAAGGATTTAATTTATTACAAAACTCTGATAACTCTTTACAAAAAATTGACTTATCACAAGAATTTGACAATTTACAAAAAACTAATGATTATCTACAAGAACTTGATGATTATCCCAAAAATTCTATCATATTGTATAAAGAAAAAAATTGATCTTTTATATATAAAATAATTAAAGAAGGCATTTATTCAATAGCACTTATTCTTAAATATACTTTGGTACCTAATAAATATAAAATACTTGACAATTATATTGTAGAAACTACATAGGGTCGTAAAACAAATAAACAAACTATTAAGTTACAAATTAACTATATTTCTGGTAAGGGGTGTGGCAACTTAGTGAAGTGAATAAGTTGTCAACCCCCTAAGTGGTAGGTTGGAAGTTCAAAACCCACCAACAGTGAAAATTTGGAAAACTATCTATATTACATCAGTGTATACAGGCATCTGTGCAATGCTAGAGTTATACAAAAGAATGCAAACTGGCATTGGACAGTGCAAACACAAGATAAGTCCTTGAAACTGGTAATATGACAATGGCTATCTATTGATCAGTTGGGATCAGTACCTGTAACATGGTCACACCAGATAACTGGCAGGTTATGGGGCATCTGTGGCTATATAAATCCATGAACTGGAATAACCGAAGCTCACTTGGGAAGACCTGAGTAAAGAGGTAATACAGATCTTCAACAGTATTACAGTAAAGGCTAGACCTAGGAAACGGATACCAATGCAGAAGAAATCGGGTAGGCAAGAACCTCAGATGAGAGGTACCACCAATCAGGTTACTGGAAGTCTCGAACTGGAAGAAAAGAACCTTGGGGGGCAGATCAAGAACAGGTCACAGTCCTACTGAGCTATCTGAATTGGAAGTCTGAGGTTGGAAACAGGGGTATACTAAAGTACTAGGAATATGCTATGAAGTCAGTGCTGGGGTCTAGGTGAACTCTGCAAGGACGAGCTTTGTTAGCAAAGATTAAATATGGGTAGTTAGTTAGCAGAAGGGCCCTCTGAAGCCCTATAGTCAGGTGATGTACTCTGAAATGTGTAATGGCTTGACAGACTTACAGACAGGAAGGTCAAGGTTAGGTTAGATGGCATCTAATTAGGTGTACAGGAGCTTGGGCTGCTATCTGCTAGTGTAGTATAGAGGTAACCTTGTACAAGTTATGTAATTATAATTAAATTCACAATAAAGGCAGTAGCCACCATAACTAAAAGGCCTTAGCAAAAGCAAAAAAA